GTTTAATAAAATATAAGGGTCCAATTAACGATAGGCGACTTGCACTTATAGGTCACGTAACCTTAATCCTCTTAAAATAGTAGGTATAGAACTACAGATCTACAATGAACATACAGAGTGATGTTTTAAGCAAAAATTCGTAATTTTTGTTTTAAAAACTTTAAAAAAAATTCTTACACGTGTAGGGCAGGGCTCTTGCAGTCTTGGCAGAGGGAGAAACGCTTTATAGAGGGCCATTTGATGGAGGTTATATTTCATTTTACGTCATGCTAAATTTTAACTTAGTTTTAACTTTATTTTGTCAAGTTATTGAACAGCGTGCACGTCGTTTGGAAGCTTACAAAAAAGGTAAAGCAAAAAAATTATCGAATTCTGATTATACTAATCGAGCAAGGCGGAAAGACTTCGCTGATGAGACGTCTTTTAGGATTACCATTAAATGCCTTCGCCATGCCCATGCCCGTGGCATTATAACGACAAACGAACAACATGATAAAAGAAAGGGAATAAATAAAAATTCACACAGCTGCATTAAACATCCTACTAGGAGATAGACGGCGTCTCTGTTGGTTCTTCATTATATATTTTAGGCTCAATATCTGCTGATATAATTATATATAAGTCTGGCATTACTAAATTCTAGCATTGTCATGCTGAGTACACTCGACCATATTTTAAATCGACGATTGATACTTTTTCACAATGGTTTAATACATTTCTTCATTTTAAAATATACGAGTCCGTAAAAACCCGATCAGCATTCGAAAAATATTTAAAGAGCTTAGGAAACGAAATTTTTGCTTCATTTTTTATTGTTTTATTAAAAGGTGCTGCTCAAATGATGAAGAATGACGTTTACAGTTTATTCATCTCATTCCCAAGTTATCGCCCTTTCTATAGTTTGAGTTGTTACGTCATTAGTATTACGATTACGTCATGAATCGCTCCTGTGGACCTCTTGCAGAGGTTGTTTGTATGTTATAAAGGTTTAAACTGATAACAACACCTACACATATTATAGTTATAAGCAATAATTGCAGAAATTACTATTTATTTCGTTAGAAATGGATCTTATAGAAATTGGAAGAGAAGGGACTGGGGACGAGTGTGTTGCCATAACAACCATGTAAACAAGCCAAATTGTTCACTTTGTTGTACCCACTTAGTGTGCCAAGTTTCATTCAATTTTATTAGATACTCAGCAAGATATTTTTTTATTTATTTTTTGTCTTGCCACTATTTCGAGTCAAACTAATGACGTCACAACTCAAAATATAGAAAGTGCGATAACTTGGGAATGAGATGAGATACGAATAAACTGTAAAGGTCATTCTTTATCATTTGAACAGTATCTTTTAACAAAACAATAAAAAATAAGGCAAAAATTTTGTTTCATAGGCACTTTAAGTTTTGACTTCTTTATTAGCGATTCTCTTCTAGCAGCAGGAAAGCCTTTCCAGGGCGTGCAGGAGTAGTTTTGGAAATCTGTTTGTTGAATAAAATGGTGTTGGTGCATATTTTTGGAGACGGCCTGTATATATGGCTTGTACAAAACAACCTGATGTTGTCATCTACCCAAAATTTAGTTCAGGCTACCCTATCTAGGCAACACAGCTACAACAGAACTTCACGTGAAATTTATAATTACATTGATAAAACAAAAGGGACCAATTAGCAATTGACAACTTGCACTAAGAGGTCACGTGACCTTAATCCTCTTGAAATAGTAGGTATGGAACTACAAATCTACAATGAACATACAGAATGATTTCTTACACGTTTACGGCAGGGCGTTTACATTGTACAGGAGGGAACGCTTTCTAGAGGGCCATTCAATGGAGGTTATGTTTTATTTTACATAGTGCTAAACCTTGTTTTAACTTTATTTTGTCTAGAAGAGAAAGAATATAGGCGTGCATATTCGCAAGCTCTCCAAGAAGGTAAAGCAAAAAATAATCGAATTCCGATTATGCTGGTCGGGCAAGACCGAGGCGGAAAGACGTCGCTGATGAGACGTCTTTTGGGATTGCCATTCAACAAAGATCAACCCAGTACCACTGGTATTGACGTTAATGTTATCGAGCTATCAGAACAAAATGCGGAAGATCCCTGGGAAAAAAGAGAAGTGAAGAAGTTTATGACCAGTGAAAGTGAGGCAAAGACTGTGTTATACAAAAAAGCTGCCGAGTACCTTGATAGAGGAGTTCATATTATTTTAGAAGACATTGATAGTGACTTTGACATTGATAGTGGAGTTAAGGGGTATTTTGAAGGGGATGCGCCAGAACCAGTGAAGCCAGCGAAGAGAAGAAAATTATTAAGAAAAGAAATCACCGAAATCAAATCGCAGAGATCCACTGAACACGACCAGAAAGAAGTTCTTCGGATATTTGTAAGTGACTTTGCTGGACAGTCAATCTATTACGATACCCATGGCTGCTTTGTGAAACCGCATTGCCCTTACGTTTTGGTTCACAACCTTTCTCTGGAGTTTGATAAACCCGCCGTTCCCAGGTTTAAAGCAAGTGACGAAGAGGAAGAGATAGAATTGAAGAATCCTCATCTTAATACCAATTTAGATCATTTTACATCATGGTTGAAGTTTCTGCAAGGTTTAGGAGAATGCCAAGATCAAAAGTTTTCTGATAAATCTGGTCACTGTACCACTGCAAAAGGTGAGAACTTTAAACTGCCACCAGTTTTAATAGCCTTAACTCACAGTGATGAGGTGAAAGGCAACCATGGAAAAATAAATTGCGTACGAGAGAGAATCAGGAAGGTCCTGTCTGGAGAAAAATATGAGATTGTCGACCCAAAGTTTTTCCTGATCGACAATACATTGGAAAACGACGGCGGAGACGACGTGCGAAAGCCTCGTAGGAAGCTTTTTGACCTCTCGAATGCCGTCCTTAACCAGGAGATTTTAATGCCTGTGAAGTGGCTAAATTTTGAAGTTGCTCTAAGCCAGAAGCTATCACCAGATTGCAAGTATATCCCATTTGACGAAGCTAAGCGAGTAGCGCAGGCCTGTGGCGTTGGGGAGTTTGATCAAGCTATTACATTTCTACACCGCCAAGGTGTGGTCGTACACCACAGTGGATCCAGTAAGGTTGTATTGGATCCTCACTGGCTAATGAATCGCTTTACGAAAGTGATCTCCATGCCTGGCAAATTGGATGCCTTGTCCAGGCACGCTCTTGATGTGTTCAAGCAGAAAGGCATTTTGTTTCGAGAATATCTTGAGACGCTGCAAGACGCAGAACTTTTAAACGAGCTTATGCAAAAGTTTAATTTGATTTGTTCTTGTCAGCACGATGGAGAGGCAGCTTTTTATGTCCCTTCAGTTGCCCCAACTATGAAACCAGGAAAAGAGTTGGAAGCTAGCAAAAAGCAGATAAATGTTCCATCGCTGTTTGTGACGTTTCCTCGCCAACTTGTGCCGATAAGCTTGTTCACGAAGCTTCAAGTTAAGTTAATTTCTGAGTGGAAAAAGCTCTTTCCCAAACAACAAGTTACGCCTTCCTTCTACAGCAACTACTCCTTGCTTCCTCTTATGATAGACGGCTGCGTGTATGACGTTTGTTTAATCGACCTTCACGAATTCATTAAAGTTGCCGTTTTTCCAAAACAGGATGGCGACCATTTCAAGTTTGCCAGTCATCTCCTAGCCACCTTGAAAAAGTGCTTGGACGACCTTAAATCTCCAGACCAACTATTATTCAGCATGACCAGCTATGACTTTGAAGTGGAATGTACCTGCTGCTTTGGTAAAGAAGAAACAAAATGTTCTCGTCATCATGAGATCCAGTGTCATTCAGACCGTTGTGGGCACCGCCACTTCTTGAAGCTTAGTGACCTTCAGCGATTGTATAACAATCAATCTTTTGTATATGTTTGCCAGTCGAACAAACACTCGTCCGAGACGTTTGACGTAAAGAGTGTAAAAATTTGGCTCGATACTGGTGAGTGGCTAATGCTAAAGGGGTTTCCACTTTGCCAGTTTTGAAATGTTTATTTGACATTTTTTAATCATTTAAGCTGGAGTAATACGAGCAACAAAATTGCTGCAACTTGGAACAAAATCTGATTTCAACGCATGTTAAGTATAAATGTTGACACATGTTGCCTCGTGATTTGTAATTTATGTGTAAACATTTTCAATTAACACGCGTAGAAATCAGATTTTGTTGCAAGTTGCAGCAATTTTGTTGCCCGTTGATATGGCGATTTCTCTCATTCCGCTGATATGGCGATTTCTTTGACGACTGCAATATATTTCTGAATCGTTTGTGTGAATTGCTCCTTATTATTAAAATATCCAAAATTAGAACAAAGCCGAACAGAATTTTGAAGCTGACGTCTTTAGCTATGTCCTGTGAAAATTTGAGAAAAATTCGTTAAAACCCGCAGGAGCACAACTCGTTAAAAAATCAGTTATTGCCGTAAAATTGTTCGCGAGAAAATTGAATTTGAATATTACATTTTCAATGTTTTTCTTATTGCAAGCGAAATGTATTTTATTAAATTAAATAAATCTGCGAGTTTTCAACATTTTTCGTCCAAACTTGGTCAGATAGTATAGAACTAGTCTAATGCTTTCATGGAAACCAATAAAAAAATTTTAGGCAAAATTAACACTCAAAGGTGTTCTGTAAGCTTAATATGGCATTGCTTCTGTATAGTTTTCCTTGGTTGTGTGCGCTGGTTGGTCGAAACAAAAAGATCCCTCGTCCACATTTGTACCTCACAGTTAAAAGAGGAGTGAAGATATCGTTTGTACGACGTGAACTTGAAGAGAAATTCAAGTGTGACGACGCTAAGGAACACTTTGAACTCTTTCGAGAACCTGAAAGAAAACCAAAAATTAAATATTTGGGTCTACTTTTAAGTAAATTGAGATGTAAATCATCTTCTGTCTCACCAGCACCTGGTGGTGTTGTATTAGCTTGCAGTAACCCCAGTTATACCAATCAAAACCCTTTACGAGTACCTGAAGAAAACGAGAAAGTTGATGTACCTCAGGTCCAGGGAACTGGGACTTTAACCATGTTTTGCGCCCTCAATGGACAACATTATGCACTCATCTGCTTTCATGTTGGTTGTGCAACTGATGAAAGCTGTTTAAACGCCGCATTCAATAAAGTAGAAGATGTTCAGATGATGCGCAATTCACTTCCAGCTTATGAAAGTTATGCAAAGAAACAGCAATATTATTTTACACAAGGCAATACAGAGAACGACAATAAGCCCATCTTATTTGGAGACGATGGAACAGACTGCACGCGTCTTGGTGGTTTTGACAATTATCATTTTGACAACGAATGCATTTTGTCTCTAAAAGTTTTGCATGGCGTTAAAATTGATTGCAAAATAGCGGATGCAGCTTCTCCTGATTGGGATAGTATATGGGATGAATTGTATGAGAGTGATAGTGATAGTAATCCAGTGAAAGTGGAGAAAACCGGTTTTTCATCGGCGTTAACCCGTGGCTATATTGTTCCTTGTGATTTTAGTTAAAGCCAAGAACAGGAGCCATTTATTTCAGGATGCATTCGCCGTTAAGGGATGTAGTGGTCCATTCTTGGAAGGCGGTGACTCTGGTTCTCTCGTTTTCTTTCATGACAAGAATAACCAGAAACAGGTGTTTGCCTGGCTATGGGGTTTGCGAAGTGGATGAACTTCTCTTACCAGAACAGCACGAGTCAGCGAGTTCTTGCTGTTCTGATGTTTGAACACCCCCAGGTAGTCGGCAATAGACGGAAAATTATCTAATCCCAGTTGGATAGGAAGGAAAGAAAGTAAAATATTTGAGTGGCACTGATTAAAAACTAATAATTGTAGCTAAAATTTAGAGAAAATTACGAAAAATTATAGGCATAACTGTGCGGGGAAAAGGCCCTTATTGAGACTTGGCCCCAGTAGTTGCAATTTAATCTTAAAATGCCCTGATTATAGAAGAAATGGCTATATATTTTTCATTTTTACTTCTGAGTGATTGAAATGAGTGAGTTCACACCATATCGAATGTCATGTTGAATGTCATGCGAGTACTTCTGTAACTTTCTTTTGGAAAACAAGGTTTTATCCCGAAGTGAAAGCAGAATATCAGCGTGTGTAAACGAAAAGCGGAAAAGGTAAGAGTTTTATTATGTTATAAAGTCCACTAGGGCCTGTTCGTTCATATCGTCCAGTTAAAACCTTCCAAATATTGCCGAATGAGGGTAACTTTTTCGATTGATCGCACAACGTTTTATGGTCGTTTTGTCCCCTTGCCGTTTCGTCCCCTCTCCATTGAAATCGTCCCCTTTATATGTTTCGTCCCCACACTAAATACCGTTTTATCTGTAAACTACTTTATCTTACTTTTTATGAACTATATATACATAAGATATATTTATATTTGTTTCTACTTTGATCACTCATGATTTTGTCATCATGCCACTGCCATAAATAATACTATGACCGAAACGAAACGGTCCCTGTTTGACTTCGTTCCTGTCTGATGTCTAAACCGATCATTGCCATTCGCAGTCATTGGTCTAGTTTCCCTCAGTTCCTGTTAAAACAAACTAAAGTGAAGTATCACTATAATAGTCACTGACAACAGTGTTATTGTGAAATAAAAGCCAAATATTTGAGTTACATTTCAAAGTTTCAGAATTTAAATACAAAAATGTGTATTATATCCAGCATACAACCACTGAGATACAATCTCATAAAAATAGACACGAAAATAAATACATCTTATGTATATAGTTCATGAAAATGTAAGATAAAGTAGTTTAAAGAGAAAACAGTATCTAGTGTGGGGACAAAACATAGAGGGGACGAAACAACCTTGGAAGAAACGGCAAGGGGAAGAAATGACCAGATACTTGCACAACAATGAACTTTTAGACCACAGCATCCCAAGCTTTCATGCGGTCGGGATATATTTGTATTTTTATATTAGCTTCAGTATGCCAGAATACGTATTATCAAAAAATGCTAAAATACTGTATTAAATTGAGAAATAAGATCTCTTACCATTACTACAATGTGTAATTGATTTGGGGAGATTCAATCCACTTGAGATGTGTTTACATAATGAGAAATATTTTTTTCTTGTTATGTAGACGTGTCTCAAGCAGATTGAATAATCATGATTTACATAAACTTTAACTTTGATTTTCTCTGCAAACAAGTTGTTACAAATCTGTTCACAAGCTGTCGACAAGTTGTGTTCGCACTGCTTGTTCCAAGTTGTTGCAAAAAGTTTGAAACAAGCTGTTAACAACTTGTAACAAGCTTGATGGCATTATCAGACTTGTAGCACAGTTGTTCTTAATTTCTAACAAGTCTGATACAATCATGATACAACAAGAATATTACAAGATTGAAGACACAAGGTTGTAACAATATTGTTATATCTTGACTGTATCGGACAAAGTTTCTTTTAAAATATTGCATTAAAATTATATATTTTGAGACAGAGATGAATGGCTATCACTGTTTCAATTTTACAGAAAACCTTTCTTTCAAAGTGTAGACCCTAAGGCTCTAAGCAACCACAAAATGTCAAATTTTCACTTTGATCGGCCATTGAAACATTCCTAAGAGGAAGTGCATGACTTTTCAGGGGAGGTGCAAAACGATTTGAGGGGAGGTGTGCACCCCCACCTCCCCTCAAAATCCGGCTATGCCCAGGCTGAACAATCAAGTCTCAAAATAGAGCTATTTTGCTTCTGTGAAGAATTTAAAGTGTTGTTTACTGTAGATGATTGATTAAACGCCGCTCACCGAATAAGCGCCGCTCTTGAGTAACCACTGTGAAGTACGCATGAGATTCAACATGACATTCAACATGATATTCGATATTGTGTAAATTAACTAATTTCAATCACTCAAAAGTCAAAATGATAAATACAGCCATTTCTTCTTTCCCAAATCAATTTGGGAGAAATAAACCATGCAGGTCACATTAGCTAACTACTACCTTTATGGTTATCCGCACACAAACTTACAAACGCATTTCAAAGCACTCCAAAACGATACTTTCCTAACAGCTATCCACACTGCCAACAAATATTCAATACAATTTGCTAAGAAATTTAAACTATAAATTTCTCCGCTGCTATTCTATAGGATTTTTTAAAACTTTTTTATCTTGTATAAAATTATCTCCTCTTTCCACTGGTTATTTAACCATGGGCGGCATCAATCTATAAACAATCGAAATTCGGCCTTATACTGGACGGTATTAACTGTAAGACAATACTAATTATAGATACATAGCGCGCATGCACTGTCAAGAATAGCATTTTAAACTATAAATTTCTCCGCTGCAATTCTATAGCATTTTTTAAAACTTTCATATCTTGTACAGAATTATCTCCTCTTTCCACTAGTTATTTAACCTTGGGCGGCATCAATCTATAAACAATCGAAATTCGGCCTTATACTGTACTAATATGTAAGACAATACTAATTGTAGATACATAGCGCGCACGCACTGTCAAGAATAGCATGTTAAACTATAAATTTCTCCGCTGCTATTCTATAGGATTTTTTAAAACTTTCATATCTTGTATAAAATTATCTCCTCTTTCCACTGGTTATTTAACATTGGGCGGCATCAATCTATAAACAATCGAAATTCGGCCTTATACTGTACGGTATTAACTGTAAGACAATACTAATTATAGATATAATATTATAGCGCGCACTCTCAAGAATAGCATTTTAAACTATAAATTTCTCCGCTGCTATTCTATAGGATTTTTCAAAACTTTCATATCTTGTATAAAATTATCTCCTCTTTCCACTGGTTATTTAACCTTGGGCGGCATCAATCTATAAACAATCGAAATTCGGCCTCATACTGTACTAATATGTAAGACAATACTAATTATTGATACATAGCGCGCACGCACTGTCAAGAATAGCATGTTAAACAATAAATTTCTCCGCTGCTATTCTATAGGATTTTTTAAAACTTTCATATCTTGTATAAAATTATCCCCTCTTTCCACTGGTTATTTAACATTGGGCGGCATCAATCTATAAACAATCGAAATTCGGCCTCATACTGTA